AGAAGATTTCAATCTTCTTATTTCCCTGTCAATATTTCAGACAAAAATACATATATTGGCTTAAAAGTGTGTGTTTTTTAAATATCTCATACATTTTGTGAGAAACACCAAAAATTATGAGAAATGTCTATTTACAAACTGACCATAAAATTAAACCCATGTTTTCGGGACTAACATTTCTAGTAAAGTCCAGGGAAAGATCTTATTGATAGTTGACAACAGTCAGCATGTGCAAATAGGCTATGTAACCTTGCTACTCAGCAGGAGGATTCTCAAGAGCTGCAAACACAAATCTCTTCTCAACAATTTTAATTAGGAAATGTCTCATGACTGACAAATGCATTCATTATTTCCTTGAATGGTTCGTCAGAATCTACATTTTTGAGTCTTGGACCTTTCTTTATGATAAAGTTTGGAGTTAAATCAGAAAAACAAGATTTATATTTACCTATAATATAATAGCAAAATAAAAGTTTGTTCTTAATTTTAAAATGTTTTGCAAGGTATAATCACTTAAGTTCATGGGAACTTCCTAACATAAGTTATTAGTGATATGTTTGTTTGTTTGTTTCATCATTGCAAAACTTGATCTTTGTGAGACACTAGAAATTCCTAGTGAGTTATACAATGATGAAAGTTCATTGAAATCCTAAAACAAATAGTGATCTCTAGGTTCAGAAAATGATATTACTCTAAGGTGAGTGAGTGGCTGTCCTAGAACTGGTTAGAGTAGAGGTCTGAAAATGTTTCTGGAGTTTAAAAGTGGGTCTTAAATTGGTAGAGAGAGAGAGAGAGAGAGAGAGAGAGAGAGAGAGAGAGAGAGAGAGAGAGAGTGTGTGTGTGTGTGTGTGTGTGTGTGTGTGTGTTGGTGGTAGTGAAGTTTTTAAATACTACAATGATGAATTATCAAATAAGAATTTATGGCCTGGGTATAATACCACAATTTCAATGTGTAATTGGAGAAACTGTTGAATTCTAAAATCCATGGGGAAGCAGGGAAATTCTGGGATGGAACTAAGATGAAGAACAGGGCTTGAGCCTTCAGATGCTGGACAACCAATCACATAACCATAACTTTACCCTTTGATAGCAAATCAGCAAATTAACTTTAAACATCCTATTGGAAGAATGTGTTTGGCATAGAAAGACTGCTTCCCCTTCCTCTATTACTTCTATTCATAATATCAAAACAGGGAGCATATCTTGCATCCTCTCCAAAGATAATTCATTTGCTTTCTTCTATAATATACCTTACATTAAGGAAGACCCTGAGGTGGAGAAATGTGTACCTACTCCAAATCTTAATCAGGCTGAACCCATCCTAGGAAGTATAGAAAGTCAAAATAGCAAAATGCTTGAGAGCATAGGCTTTGTGTTAGTTCCTGAAACTATCCCAACAAATTACCACAAACCTGATGACCTCAAGTGTCCAGTTTAATCATGGGACCTGTTGGAACTACAGGTTTTCTGTTGTAGCTGCAGGCATTAATATCTTCCAAACTCAGAAAAAAAATGCATTGGGTGCTATTTAAAAATACTTTTTAAAGATATGAAACAATGTATAAAAGTATTTTCACATGCCTTCTATTTGGATATATGTATCCCAGAAGAACTAATTTATACAGTTTAAAAACAGGTACTGCACTAACAGAATATATGCATATAGATCAGATAGTAAGTTATCATTTTTATGTCTTTCCCCTTCTGCTGAAAATTATGATTCATGCTACAATGAAAAATGAATCCTGGGCAAGACACCCAAGAAGATAAAAGTGAATTCAGTCTTATAAAGGGTATCTATAACCTTCTCTGATAGAGATTATCAATTATACCTGGCAAAAATAGTTAATTTAAATTCCCTGGTCACTTAGAATTAATTTACCTCCCTATGATATCTCTTTTTCTTTCTCCCATAATATCCTACTTTATTCTCTGTATAGCACTATGATTACTTTGTTCACTTACATGTCTATTTATCTGCCTCCCACTATTGGGATATAAACTGTATATGAATCTTGGTCCTATTCCTATCAGCATTCCTATCACCTAGAGCAGCACCTGGCTCAGAGAAGGCATTTAATGAATATTTATTGACTGGACAAAGAAATAAATCAAATGATTAATTTTTAAAGTATTAATTTTACAAAATTTTGACAAAAATTCTAGGGAGTAAAAAATACAGATTGGTGTTTTATTCTATAGAAATCTATTATTAAATCACTAATCTATTATTAAATCACTAATATTTTATTCCACTGATAATTTCAGTAATCATTGAGATACATGGAAGTGCCTCAAATGTACAATTTTCCTTTTTAATTTACGTAACTAATACTTAAATTCACAAGAGTCCACAAAGACTATAGGATTTATCACATTTAGGAGGTTTTCAATGAACCTTTGAGCCCAAATAAATAAATAAATAAAAATAAAATAAAAAAGTTCAAGAATAATGGAGATGGGTCCTCTATTTAAATGTTGTTGTGCTTTCTTTTCGTTTATAGAAAAGACTGAGCTGACACAAATGTCTAAGATATTTGTTTTATTTGCAAATAAAATCTCTATAGTCTTGTAGTTCAAACCACACAAATTTATCTAAGACTGAGAATTTCTACAAAACTTAAAGAATTATTTGTCAAACTAAACATTGCCTCTCAGTCTTCAGGTAGAACTGTAGAAACTCTAGCTAAATGAGTGAATACACAGAGAACTTGATCTTTCTGATTCCAAGAACCACAAATTATACTTTGCCAAATATAAGTTCTGTTTTGACATGTTAATCTTGTGTCATAATATCTATTACTATTCTCCTTACTGGTAATAAAAAAAAGATAAACTAAAAAATGCATTAATGTCCCTTGTGTAGGAATATAAAAATGTTAATATATTTCATGTGTGAAAATCTCAAAATATTCTCATAACCGTCAAACTGCCAAAGTGAAACTATACAAATATTCCTGGAAGTCTAGCTGCTATGAGAGTTGATCTCTGTTGCTTTGGTGAAGTGCAAAAATCAGCCAATGTCACTGATAAGATACGGTTGTCAAAGTTAGGATTATTAGCCAGACCATTCAGACACATATTGGAACTGACACTTTTTAAAAAGAAACCAAGAATCCTTTAAATTCTATTTCAGTCCCTCTTGAAAATTTTTAATCAAAATTAGAGCAATCCAAATGTATCTACTGCTTAGAATATGCAAGTTCATTGTCCTAAAATTGTCAAGTCCCTATTATCTGATATCACATCACAGAGAAAAGTAGACAGATAGCCTCTGCCATGTCCAATTTAAAGTACAAATCTTAACTCTAATTGGACAAAAAGAAGAGAGACAAAAACAGGAGTGTGTTTTTCATTTTAGCACTTCATTTGTCACTTGTGGAAACTGTACTTTTTATCAGTAAAGGTTTGACTTATAGTGAACCTGAGGTGAGTGAAAAATCTCTTTATGCTGCCCCCCATTTCCTTTAAAAGATAGCAGACCACCATTCTTTACCCGTCACGCTGTAAATAATGTTAGTCCGTCTCTCTGCTTTTATTTCCCCTCCTTCTCTCTGATTCATTCTGCACTCCACTACCGGGCTGATGCTCCTAAAATATCATTTGGTTCACATTATTCTTTGGCTGAAAAGTACTTCCTGTCTCTTACCTCTTCAGGATTTTTATCCAAGACCCTTCATTTCACATTTAAGGTCTATTATTTCACCGCCTTTCACTTTTTACATCTACTCTGTCACTATTACCTGTAAACAAACCTCCTGTAGTAATGAGCTAAATGTTCCCCTCATGCTCTTTCTGGAGAGTGTGATTTTGTTTTGTTTTGTTTTGTTTTCATGGAATATCCTTCCCCCCTCCTTAGCACTCTTCTTTTTAAGAACTAGACCAAATAACATCTCCTCCACAAAAAGTTCATTGGGAATACTCCCATAAAGACTTCTCTTCCTTCCTGTGATTTCTCCTTACACAGATGTTCTTCATTCATCATGTATTTCCTTGGGCCATCTTTGAACTTATTATTTAAAGTAAATGCTTCAAACCCTTTACAGTTTTTGTGCACTTACACGATCTCCAAAAGTAGACCATGGATTCCTTGAAGGCAGTGGCCATTTCCTAAATCCTTTTAATCAACTTTGATAGTTAGCACAGTGTCCTTCATAAAATAAGGTTATAATTAGTGTTCCCTAAATCAAGGATTTCTACAATATTTTAGAAGTAGACTGTATATATGAGGAAACTGAGGTCCAAAATCATTCATTGACATGCTCAAAGTTTGGTTTGCTTGATTATTCTTGAATATTAAAGATCTTTACTACATATACCAAAGTTACATTATTTTTGTTTCATAATTGGTTGTTACTAAGCCAAGTAATGCATGAAATCCACTGACTTTAATAAAGTGTGTGTATATATACTATGAGTGTATGTATATACATATGATTACATATGTGTATATATATAAATAACAATAGGCATAAACAACTAAAGTTTCTTTACAGATACTGATATTTCAAGGGAAACTCTAAAGAACTGAATTTTAATGATTTATAAAGTAAAAAACAATATTCAAGAATTGTGATGACAATAGGGACATTAATATTTTTAATGCGCTTTTAGTGACATGACCAATATTCTAGAGAGAATCAAATATTACAAAAGTCTCTGATGTCCTATTAAAATATTATCTTCTGCAACATAGAACTATAAACAAATAATAGTAAATTTATGTTTTTCCATGAAAGTGGATACATAGCTCAATTTAATTCCTGTGATATTTAAAATGTAGTGGATAATTGCAAGTTCAACTTTATACTGAAGTTTTTAATATGCTAATATGTGAAAAATATGTAGAAATAATATTACTGAAGACAAATTAATACATATTTTTAAATCAATGGTAACTTGGGTTCTGGTTAAAGTTAGCTTGACATACATTGGATTTGTCCCTTCAAAGTACTTTATCTCTGGGCAGTTTAACGTTAATGTTAGACATTGTCACTTACCATCTTTCAGGATGGTTTCTCGCTCTGTGCCATCTATCTTCTGCCGGCCAATTAGGAAACTGGTGGTGTCAGCAAAGTAGATATAATTGGTTTCTGCATGAAAATCTAAAGCTCGAGGGTTTACCAGATTTTCTATGGGGATCATGTATTCATCAGCTATCTTGGTATTCAAGTCCATTCCTCTAACAATTCCTGGGCGTCCTTTCCCATAAAAAAGGAACAACTCATTCTTGGGTCCTGCAGAATGAAGATTACAAACATAAACAACTGATGCTGCCTAATCTTCTTTACACTGCATAATGCCACTGTTTAATTAACTGGCACAATTAGCGTTTTTAAAATTCAGTACCCAAAATTAAACTCTAAAATATGCCAAATGTATCTTGATGCAAGAAGGCCAGTTAACTGCATTACTTTAATTAAAACAGAAATTACTTCCGTGAATGGGTTATATTTAGTTAATTTTTTTGTCTGTAAGTGTCAGTATACCAAAAAAAAAAAAAAAAAGGAAAGATCATTGGAAAACTTGTAACTGTAAAATGGACATTTATCAAAACATCCGGCACATTTAATTTTACAATTCATTATAATTTATCTAACATGTTTTGCAGATACCAATTATAGAACCCATTATGTTTGACAATGCTAACACTTCAGAATAGATAAAACACTCTCCCCCACCCCTCAGGGTTTGCATCTACAACCTGTTAGAGGTAAACAAAGCACTCGCACAGCATCACATACTTACATGTGAATATGTGACAATTATTTAATCATGTGATTTATATTTTTAAGAAATTAAACCAAATGCCAGTTACAGCATCACTTTTTTCTTTGCATCTTAATTAATATGTTAGAGGTCGATGCCAGTAACTCTGATGTGCAACACTGCCGTTATCAAAAACAAAACAAAACAAAAACAAAAGCCCAAGACAGAACTGCCTCCTGGGTTAAAATGCCAAAATCAAGTTAGCTCTTTGTAGAGTGAACTAACTCCTTCAGACTTTTATATAAAAACAAATGCAAGGTTCTCCAATTGCTAGGGCACCCGATACTTAATTTAGTCTATATAATTTTCAAGGAATTACTTTATATGAAAGGGAAAACATACTGTTTTATTTTAAGATGGAGGATACAAATAACTCAATTATATTTGAATAACCAGACCATGAGATTTTTAGTAATATGTCTGAATTATAGAAAATTTGAAAAAAATAAAAACTAATAACATATAAACACACCACCCTCAATATAAACTATATTATAATTCTCTATATTTTCTTTGTTTTTAATTAATGTTATTGAATATTAAACATATGTAAGCAAATTTTATAACATTTCAATATATATAGAATAAAAATAAAACAAACCTCATGTATCTAGTACATATCTTAAGAATGTTCCCAGAACATGGGAAGACATGCACATACCCCGATTCTATCCCAGAGACATCGATAGCCTAATTATCGAGTTCATAATGTACTTTGTAAAAGTTTTAGACAAATGCATGTATTTCCCCAGAGTAGGTTGTATAATTTTACGTGTTTGAATTATATGTGTGAATTCTCATACGAATTAATTTTATTCTTCTTGTATTCTTGATATTCATCCATGGTTGTAATCATTGTTCATTCATTTTCACTGCTGTATTCTATTCCTTTGTGTGAATATTTCAGATTTAATTTATCTAGCTAGTTTTCTAATTAACACTTATATAGAAGGGGGCACTCCATTTCTACATGCTACTTTTGTTATTATATCTTAGTATCAAAATTATGTTCTATGTTGATTATTTTAAGCCTTACATTATTTCAGTATGATCAGTATAATACATGATAATTTGCCAAACCACTCCCAGGTTGGTTTTATCTTTTTTATTATTATAATAATAATGAGATAAGCATCTTTTTCAACCTACTAGTTTACATATTTTCTTAGATGATCTCTTAGTATACATTTCCAGAAATCTAATTACTGGGTAAAGAATATTTACATTCCTCTTCCTCATTGTCCTCAAAGTCTCTCAGTGTCTGAGCATATTTTAAATAATGTACTATGTTATTTAAAAGTAGTGCATATTATTTGAAAATTAACAGTCTTGAGTATTTTCTACCAACTTTATATGCATACTTTTCTTTAATAAAGTATAGATCTATTATATATATATTTTAGTACCCAATTTTTTAAAAAATTAATGATATTTTGTTGCATCATTAAAAAGTCTTCAAAACATTCATTCCAATGGCAGCATCTTATTTGCTACTAGAGAGGCAATATAACATAGTCAGCTACTTACCTACTGTTAGAAATTAGATTGTTTCTGAGTTTGTATTATTATTATTATAAATACACTTAAATAAATTTCTTCAGTCAAAAGTGGGATAACTTGTTAAAGGGTAGTAAAAGGATAGTATTATCTTTACATTTTTAAAACTGTATTGATATCTTTACAATAGTTACAACAATTTCCAATTCTATTATCAATGCATAAGAAGGCTGATTTTCTCATACTCATTCTTGCTAACATTTATTTTTGCTTTCATTTTTAATAGATGTTTTAACTGGTAATTGGTAAACCTGGTATTTTATTGATTTAATGTATGTGTGTGTGTACCTGTGTGCATGTACATTTTAAATAAGAATGGTAACTCTTTTTCCTTGTTTTCTTTAATCACTTCTTTTAGTCATTCAATACCTACTTTAAAGTTTTTTTCTACTGTGTTTTCCTGTACTATAGACAACTTAAAACTGAAAACATTTCACAGGTGGTCATATAGCCATGGTTCTGGTTTTGATTTAAGTACCCCAAACAGATGTATGAGCTGAGGTTTGGAATATGGAAATGAGGCCATCTTTTGCTGATCTGTTGGTGCTCATCCAATGGAGAACTCAAGTTTTTCCACACTGACCTTTTCCCCTTGTGTATATCAAAAGGCAAGAAAGAGGGTGTCTTTTTGTTTTGTTCTGTGATGTTTTGCTTGGTTTACCAGTAGGGTACTATTGGTTGTTACATGTCTCTGGAGCTAACAGCTGTGGTGCAAGCTTCCTGATTCCTGGATCTCAGCTCAAAGGATGTATTTCTGAAGTTACCATTGCCATTGGTGGCATCCTGATGCCCTAGCTTCTGATTTTGGCAGATGTTCCAGCTTTAAGCCAGGTTAGTTTGATGATGGTTTTTGAGCAATGTTCTGAATTCTAGAATCTGCTGCTTCAGGCTTTTTAATGATTTTGTAAGCACCTGTTTGCATTTGATCCTCTGTGTTTAAAATACCTAGGACTATTTCTTTTCATATAAATGTTCCCTGATTGACACTAAATTAGGGATGATTGAAACTTATGAAACTCTGATCTTACACTTCTCCCCCAAAATGTGTGCATATGCATGTATGATTTTATTTTTACATGACATGCCATAACTTCCCAAGTGGTAACCAGGACAGTTTAAAGGTTGGTTATACACACATGAATACACAAACACACACACACACACACACACACAACTTCTATCTTGAGACTTCTGACACAGACCCTCAATTTTCCAGATGATTTACTGAACATGAGATCTGTCATCTCTACATACCCAACATTTTATATACAATTAGAAATAAAACAAAATACTAAAGTGCATGTTTTATAACCATTGAGCCTCTTGGTTCTAATTTAAAAGTATTGGCTGACCGGCGCGGCTCGGTGGTTGATCATCTACCTATGAACCAGGAGGTCGTGGTTTGATTCCCTGTCAGGGCACATGCCCAGGTTGCAGACTCAATCCCCAGTGTGGGGCGTGCAGGAGGCAGATGATCAATGATTCTCTCTCATCATTGATATTGATGTTTCTGTCTCTCTCTCCCTCTCCCTTCCTCTCTAAAATCAATATATATATATATATTATATATATATATATATATATATATAT